TAAATCTGAGAAATAGCACACACGCATTCAACTGGAGTAAAATTGGAATTTTGTTCATGTTTTTAGAAAGGAATATATTCTTGAGTATAACTACTTATAAACCTATGTGTCAATTACACTTTTAAGATTTTTGTTCCCAAACAACTTATAGGGAGCCTGGTTTTGAAATAGAACTTGTCAACTAGAAATTCATGACAGTTTATGTGCTAGAACATTGAATACACACAGGTAGCATGAGGGTTTTTTCCAAATTGCCTTTTTGTTGAGGTAGTGCCTTAGAGTACCTCTTTTTATCTTGCTTTTGTTCTGATGATTCAGATAAATAGGAGTCGGCAACACTGGAGGAAGAAGAAGACAGGTTGTCTTCCTGATAAATCCAGCACCAGAAAACACATTTTTGGCTTATCCACTATATTCTGTGATCATTGTGGTGAAAAGACTTTCATTTGATGAGTTTTAGAATTTGGTCTCCCTGGAACTGTTTTTAGTGCTTGCTGTCATACTGTATGTCTTCTCAGCAACCGTCCCTGATTTATTACTTTGAAATTGCAGTATTATTTATTATCTTCCAGTGTGTAGTGAAGTGGCATCTTGCACTTACATATATCACATACTTTTACAGTTTAGTATGGTAGTTCTACTTTTTTTTTTCTCTCGCAATAATATAAAAAGGATCCGTTTTTATTATTTGGAGAAGCATAGCTTCATTTCTTTCAGAAGCAAAAAATGATGCTGTGGTAGTTAAATGTCCCACACAAACTTTGTGTCTTACAAAACCCTGCAAAGAGTGGAGGCCTTTAGCAAGGCTTACTGTCATGTTCATTTCAGCGCTTTTGGCAACAAGCCTATGATTCCTAAAGCTGGTTTGTGAAAGCTGGGGATGTCTACTCAAAATGAAAGAAGTGAACTCTTACAGTAGGTTTTTTTCTCATTCTGTTTTATTTTTTTTTTTTCCCACATGAATTGTGAATTTTCTGCATGAAAGCTGTGTATTTCTTAATGTCAAAATTCATAAAGCAGTGATACACACACATTAAAGTATGGTCTCTGCATGTGAAAATGTGCTTGTGATGTAAATCCAGAGAACATGCTGTCTTACTCATTTATTGTCCTTTTGTTTCTGGATGCTAGGATCCCTGAAGAGAAGCACGTGTGTGTGTGTGTGTGTGTGTGTGTGAGAGAGAGATACTCTTGCCATTCAGATGAAAGTTCTGTCAACGTTTTTTTCCTGAAGGTGTAAACATAAAGGGAGCATACAGTTGTCTTACTCCCAGCTGAACTTAAAGGGCCTCAGATCAAATGAGATGATCTTCCTAAGTAACTTATTGGAAAGACTACAGCCCTGAAAGTTAGCATATGGATTTGTCTTAATGAAGATGCCATGTATTTGAAGAAATCGGGCACCTTAGATGTGTGTGGGTATAAGAGGGAATAAGATAATAACAATATCTTATTTTAATGAGCAACGGTTTGCAAATATTTGTACTCCTCTTTAACAAAGGACAGAGGTTTTCAGTTTGTTTACTTTTTTGTTTGTTTCTCCTTTTTTCCCAAGCCAAATCCATATGTATCTGTCACCCTCATTTTCCACAGAAATGACTTAAAGCTGAGGATACTGGATGGTCTCTCATGTAGGGTAAAGGAATTTTCAGAAACATCTATACCCTTGTATATGAATTCTGTTCTTGTTATGCAAGTCACTGTCAGTTTTGATCTTCTTCTGCCTGAAAGTATGGATCTGGTTATAGAGTAGGTAGTTAATAGGAGGGCATTAGAGGTTCACACTGCTGTAACACCTCGTCAGCATTCATCTGAGGACTTGAAAATGTTCATTTAGGAGCCCAGGATACTTTGTTTGGCAGTTGAAGCAAAATGAGGTTGTGATTTAGGAGCTGTTCTGAACAGAAATACAGAACTGTTAGCTGTTACTCTGAAAGCACAGTGATGCATTAGAGAATTACATTACTGCAACACGGACTCATTTCTCTCTTCCTAGAGATACTTGATTCCGTTATGTTGATGTTCTCAACTAAGAAATGGGCGAATATGTGATTGTCACACATATATAATGCAAATATCAAAATTCATTAATTGAACATATTGTTGCCTAATATAAATCCTCTTTTTTTAATGGAATGTCTATAGTGTGACTGCAAAGGGAAGGTACTGAAGGACAAGTCAGGTATCTGGAGCTTTATCTAGCTGTGGAAAGGTGACAGTTCATTTTCAGCAAAGTTTGAATGTATTTAATATCTTAATCTGAACACCTTCAGGTGTGGTAAAAATATAGTTTCCTGTTCATGAGGTTGTTTGAGTATTTCTGAGCAGGTATAATGGGGGAGATTAAGAGGGGAAGTTACTTCTGTAATTGCTATACCTGCAGCTATTGACCTTTCTTGTTTTGGTGTCTGTAAATGAAAGAGTACTTGTTTTAAGTGTAAATTTCTAAAGTTTACTTTCTCAAGTTTACTTTAAAACATGATTAGTAATTCAGAAGTGTCTGGCTTTTTCAAACAAGCTACAAGCCTTGGACAACTGATAACATGTCCCTGTACTTCAGTTTCCCATCTTTAGATAGTGGCACCACTATTTATATAGCAGGAGTATTGTCAAGATAAATTCCTTAAAATTTTGTGGTGCAGCTGCATATTTTGCTCAAATATATAATTGCATGTCTGTGATACACGGCAGGAGATTATTCAAGTGACAGCCCAGTTCCTGCTGCCACTTTTTTGCAAGCAATTATCTTGGTAATTTTTATATCGTATTAGTGCAGTAATGTGGGTACACCATTACTCCTATCATTAGATACGTGAAAGGAATTTTTATTAGAAGAAAAGTTCTGTGTGGTGGAGTTTTTGTTTTGAATCATAATCCATCATTCAAGAGAGAAGATAGGTTCCATAAAAAAAACCCAAAGTTGAAACAGCACTTCACAGACCAAAGATGTGATATAAGAAGAGAGTTACTCTTAAAACCGGGCGCAGTTTTGAAAATGTTAAGCGTGTGTATTGCTACTTTCCAGCTCTTCGTGTTCTCTTCCTTGTAAAGCTTGTAGATTACTAATATTAATACCATTTAGATATGGAGTTTCAGCCTTGCTTTAAGTGTAGCCTGGACAAATTAGGACAGCAAAATAGTAGATATATTACAAATGTAATAGTTACTGTCTCCAGTTGTTTTTCCTTAATGGAGATGAACATGCTCTAAAAAATAACTCTGAGAATTGGGTGCCAAGATTTAATGCAAAAATAGTCTGTCTTAGATGTATATTTTTTTCCTGTCTTAGAAAGTGAAGTTGACAAGGTCTAAAATATGACAAGATTGAGAAGAACTCTTTCCAGAAAGGAACAAATCATGCAAAAGGATTAAGGAGGCTCAAGTGAAGAAATTGTTAAACTATTTCAGTCTTTTTGTAGTAAATTTAAATCTGTATTTCCAAGGAGGTAATTTTGTGTTTAGGTATAACTCCTACCCATTTTTACCTTTTTCAGAAAATCAGTATTAAATGCACTGGTTGTCTGCTGCTTCATTCCATATTATACTTTCTAGTGATCCTTGCCAGCATGAAATGGTTCATTATTCATGAAATGGTTTATTATTATCCTTATGTTCTATTGATCCCTTCTACAGCATTTTGCTTTCTGTCTGTTTCATAGGATGAATAAGGTTTTGCATGTGGCTGTATATATGGAGAGAAAATCTTTGGCAGTGTTTTACATGTAGAGAAGCTCTACATGTAGCTCTGTTAGGAGCTGAAATCATGCTACTATGCACTTTGCTGATATAACAGTGCAGATAAGGAGCGGTTCCATATGTCTTCGCAAAAACAGGCAAAGAAACAATGGCTGGAACCTATCGTGTAGTTTTGCAGGATACCTGCAAAGATTTTCCATGTTGCTACATCAGAAATACATACCTGTTAGCAAACAGGCAGCATTTTCTGGGTTTTCTGAAAAGATTTTAGGGTTCTTTGGACACAAGATTGCATTTCAGCCAATTTTTTCATTATTAATTACTTTAACGAATTACTGAACTACTTTCTAATAGGAAGCTGATATTTTTTTTTCTTCAGCTTTTTTTCTTTTTACCTCTTTTTAGCATTCTATTTTATTTCCCAATATTCTTATTTGGTTAGCTGGAATTTAGTTACTCTAAATCTGTTTATTCTAGATTTCAGGCAGAATAAGATTTTTGGAAATCATGAAACTTGTTTTAAGAGGGTTGTTGATGTTCACACTTATTACTTATAGCTTGTTGCAGTGCTCATTAGAATGAGTTAAAGTGAGTTACTATAGAACATTAGTAAATTGTTTTTCAGATGTGTGTTGTCTAGCCCTTGACTTTTAAGATTCAGTTGAACTGAAGACATACATCCTGTACTGTGTTTGGCATGAAGTTGTACATACGCAACAGTGAGCTGTCTTAGCTCCTGTGTCTGTCTTGAAAGGTTCATAATGCTCTTCTTGAATCAAGATTGAGCACACCGTGGATCTACTTTGTCAGTTAACAATGTATAGTTATTACATATGATCACATAATTTATAATGTAGAAAGTAATAATCACTGATCGACTGTCTAATTTCAGAGTGCTTTGTATCACAAGCAGTCATTTTTATATGGTTATTTAGCACAATATTTTTCCTTTCCCTTTTTCTTTGAGAAATTACTACTTTCTGTCAAGTTACTGGTGGGCAAGTGGACTATTATGAGCATTAACTAGAAGCTGTGTTTTTTTCCCCTGTTCTTCTTGACAATCTCCAGGTAGTCAATACCCCACGGGTAGTATGAAGTACTGTAATACTGCAATATGTATATCTAGAGAAGAGTTATGTATAGACTTTAGGTGCACTTTGTCACATGCAGTCCTGTCCATAGTACTAGAAGCTCTTGTAGTTTATCACATTAAGTGTCCGTGTGTCATTGATTATGTATTTATTAATCTACCTAAATGTTTCCTTTTTTTAAAAAAACTCTTTATTTTTTTATTTACATGACAGCCCAAAACAGCTCCGAAAAGGACTTTTGGATCCATTACAAATGATCAGGTAAATACACAGTAGGGAGTGTTCAACATGAAAACCAGTTATTAATTCTGAAACTGCTTTGGCCATGAGTCCACTGAAAACTATGTTACGAAAATTGAGTAGGGTAATGCAGTTGCATATTTCCCTGATGAAGAATCTTGTCATCAGGATTAGAGCCTCGTAAAGCAAATCCTGGCTCTGAGATGGGCATAATCTTGTTTTGCCTCAAATAGGTAGGTTACATTGCCTAAGCTGTCTTTTATAGATTAAAACCACTCAGCCTTTTTTATTTCTCACTCCCATCCTTCTATTGTTGTGGAGATAATATAGCAGATTATTTGTACTAGTCAGTCATTTTAATGGAAAAAGGTACTATATAAATGTTAATTATTTATTAATGATTTTCCTGTGTACTCATATCCTTTCTAGTGTGAACTAAACCTTCAGCTCACTATGATAATGTAGTGACTGAGGTACAGTTCAGCCCAAATAACAGTGCTACCCTATTGGAAATTTCACTGAGGTTTTAACAATCATAAAGCCATTTACTTCAACATCAGGAATTTAATCCTGAAGGTTTTACTTCATGCTTCTCTCAGAAATTTTACTTTTTAATTTATTTGCTCATGAGGAAAACTATTAGATATTTATAGTCTTAAATATGTTTCTAGAAGGTTTCATTATTTTTTGGAGTATTTAGAATGGGGGAATTCTTCATTCTTAGAAAATGTCTTTGTTAAAATGCAGCATAATGTCACACCAACCTTATCCCTTAAGCAACGTGAAATAGACTTGCTTTAAGTCGGCAAAAGTATAATTTTGTGTAACTTTTTTCTTTTTTTGTGGTTTAAAAAGATGTATAAACCTGTAATGAATAGCAAGAAATACTCTTGAATAATATTTTAGCATAGGAAATTACTCAACTGTTAATTATTAACGTGGAAGGGGTCTTTGCTGCCTTTTCTGTTTCTCTAGGAGTTTACTGCTAGTGGTGGGGAACTAAAGCTCTGTTATTTTCTATCAAAATTGTATGCCATAATGAAAAACATCTTTCTCATAGTTGATAGAGAAAAGCAGAAAGGGTATGCTTATGTATAGCTGCATGCATTCAAAGTCTATAAGAAATGTTTGTTGTAGTTGTGGGATCTAATGACTGAATAATCAGTGCCCATCTGTCAACTTGTGTACAAATAAAGAACTGAAAGATAGGTGACAGGTTTTCCCCCCGCCCCAGCTTCTGTTGCTTTTTTTCTGCAAATCTATGTTAAAGCATAGAATATAGAATTTGTCATTTCTCAGTAATTCTGAGATATATTGCAATTAACTGCTAGCCAGATTGAAGAGGAAACTCTGCCTTTATGGAGAGATCAGCAGAGAATTACTATTCTAAGATTTAACCTAATTGCTGCAAAATATACATCTTGATTTAAAAACAATTTGCAAGGCTTATATTTTCATATGACTTCTGGTAAAGAAGCCAAAGCTGTATTTGTTTTATTGTTTCAAAGTGTGCTCCAGTTTGCTTTAGAGTGTCCCTAGTTGCAACTTAATGTCACGAATACTGTGCAAGTGGCACAGTAATTTTTGAAATGTGGATGGATAGTCCTTTTCCATGAAATAAATGATTACTTAGGTAGGGTCAAATTCTGGCTTTGAGGAAACAAATCAATGAAAGAGTGCAGCCTTACGCCAAAGTAGACCTATGAATGCATTCCCCTTAATGATGGCTAGAAGGGTACAGTGAATACAAATCTTTTTTTGCAAGTAATGAGAAATAAAGAGCCTTGCACACTGGGAATGCTTTCTTTCACTTTGGTCTGAAGTGTTTTAAACCACTTTTGAACATGCATAGTTACATAAGTGAAGGTGAAAGACAAACACAATAAACAGAACCAGGCTGGATGCTATTGTTCATTATTACAGCTATGGCAGATAAAACCAAAATCCTAATTAGTCAGCATCTTTATTGATGCCTTCTTTTTCTGTTCATCCTATACATTCAGCTTTAGTGGCCTGCATTCTAGCTCTGCCCTTGTGGAAGGGAAGATATAGCTGGAAGACTGCCTTTAAATCCCTTCCTCCTTTGAAGGGTGAGAGATATGAGAAGAGACAATAATTGTGATATTCTTAAGCCCTGCTTGTCTGAAGAGACAGCAGAAGAGGGAATCTACTTCTAGATTCCAATCTGTATTTTAGCAGACTACTTCTATTAACGCTGTTTTTTGAGAGAAGCTGTTTGTGCAATATATGTAGCATTTCTTCCAGGGGTCTTAGGTGTTCAGCAAACCCCATGAAAAAGATTGATCTCGTAGCTCTGTGATATTTTTTGAAATTAGAATAGATTGTTTTTTTCTTCCTGGGATCGTATTTTTCACTACAAATGCAAAATACATAATGATGAAGAAACGAATAGCTTTGATGATGTTTTAGAGTGTATTCGTAATCAACTTAGGACTTAGTTTTACCTTTACCATCTAACACCTGAATTAGGTAGTAAGCCTCTTTTCAGTGATGGTGGTGGTTTCTTATGCTAATAGTTTCAAATGATGTTCAGCATTGCTCGCAAACAGAATCTCTTTTTCTTGTTTTCCTTGAAATTGAATATTGGTTTAAGTCCTCCACTGTGTGCATGCCATCTTGCTTTGCATGTGGCTGAACTCTGGCTTCATTCCTCCTTTCTGTACTCACTCATACAATGGAGGAACCATCTGTCCAGGTATTTAATAGCTTTTCTGTAGAAATAGAGAAACTGATTAAAAAAACCCAAAACACACCACCACGTCCTCCATCTCTCCCCCCCTTCCCCACCTTTTTCTAAAGTGTCTGTTTCGTCCGTGTTTGCTCTGAAGCTTTCTTAAGGCCCTGAAGCTTAAAGTAAAACCATATATTGCAAAATAAAGGTAAATATAAATGTATATTCCTGTATACAATATATATAAAAATATATATTCAGTGAAAATTTCAGAACACTGAGATATTTCTCTATTCTTCATATACCGTCATGCTAAAGTGTGTTCTTTCTGTGTCTTGTAGGGTCAAAACGTGTTTGGTCTTGATATAACTGAGACACCTGAAGGAGATAAGTGGCCTCAACTGATTGTCCAACAGATCCTGGATAGGGAACAGAAGGATACCTATGTGATGAAAATTAAAGTTGAAGATGGTGGAAGCCCTCCAAGATCTAGCACTGCCATCCTCCAAGTCACAGTGACTGATGTGAATGATAATCGCCCAGTCTTCAAAGAGAATGACATTGAAGTCAGTGTCCCAGAAAACGCCCCAGTGGGCACCTCTGTTTCTCAGCTCCATGCCACTGATGCAGACCTGGGCTCAAATGCACAAATTCACTTCTATTTCAGCAATCAGATCTCCAGTTTGGCCAAAAGGCTGTTTGCCATAGATAACACCACTGGTCTCATCACTATAAGGGAACCACTAGATAGGGAGGAATCTCCTGTACACAAATTGACTATTTTGGCAAGTGATGGCAGTTCAACTCCATCAAGAGCAACAGTGACTGTTAATGTTACAGATATTAACGACAATGTCCCATCAATAGACACGAGATACATCATCAATCCAGTGAACGGGACAGTGCTTTTGTCTGAAAAGGCTCCCCTTAATACGAAAATTGCATTGATAACAGTAATGGACAAGGATGCTGATCTGAATGGAAAAGTTACTTGTTTTACAGATCATGATGTTCCTTTTAGGCTAAAGCCCGTGTTTGATAATCAGTTTCTTCTGGAGACAGCTACGTTTCTAGATTATGAAGCCACACGGGAATATGCCATTAAAATAGTGGCATCAGATTCAGGGAAACCTCCCTTAAATCAGTCTGCAATGCTCCTCATCAAAATAAAAGATGAGAATGACAATGCCCCAGTTTTTACACAGCCTATCATAGGTCTTTCCATCCCTGAAAACAATGCTCCTGGTACTCAGCTAACCAAGATAAGCGCTACAGATGCTGACAGTGGGCGCAATGCTGAGATCAGCTATATCCTGGGTTCTGATGCACCCCCTATTTTCAACCTTGACCGCCGTACAGGTATTCTGACAGCAGTGAGAAAGCTGGATAGAGAAAAGCAAGACAGGTACTCCTTCACTGTGCTGGCTAAAGATAATGGGATACCACCCTTGCAGACCAATGCTACTGTGACAGTGTCTGTCCTGGACCAGAATGATAACAGCCCTGCTTTCACACACAATGAATACAATTTCTATGTACCAGAAAATTTACCCATGTATGGCACAGTGGGGCTTATCACAGTTACAGATGCTGACTCAGGAGAGAATGCTGCTGTTACTCTCTCTATATTAAATGGTAGAGATAATTTCATTATAGATCCACTTACTGGTGTAATAAGACCTAATATTACCTTTGATAGGGAACAGCAGGGGTCATATACTTTCCAGGTGAAAGCTGTGGATGGAGGAAGAGTGCAGCGTTCCTCAACTGCCAAAGTGACCATCAATGTTGTTGATGTAAATGACAACAGGCCTGTTTTTGTTATCCCTTCATCTAACTATTCCTATGAGTTGGTTCCAACATCAGCCAGTCCAGGGTCTGTAGTTACTAAAGTCTTTGCAGTTGATAATGACACAGGAATGAATGCAGAGCTCCGCTATAGCATTATAGGTGGGAACTCACGGGGCTTGTTCACAATTGACCAATTAACAGGCAATATAACTTTGAAAGAGAAGGTAATTACATCAGATCATGGCTTGCACAGACTGGTGATAAAAGTCAATGACCTAGGACAGCCCGAGTCTCTTTACACTATAGCTCTTGTGCATTTATTTGTTAACGAGACAGTCACCAACAGTTCCTACGTACAAGAGCTAGTGCGCAGGAACATGGAAACTCCAGTTGGCCAGAATGTTGGGGATGGGGAAATAACCCCACAAACCAATGATTATGTCAAGATCATCATTGCTATTATTGCAGGCACTATGACAGTTATTCTGGTAATTTTTGTTACTGCTTTAGTACGGTGCCGCCAGACACCTCGGCACAAGGTTGTCCAAAAAAACAAGCAGAGTGGTGAATGGGTTTCCCCAAACCAAGAGAATAGGCAGATCAAGAAAAAGAAGAAGAAGAAGAAGCGCTCTCCAAAAAGTCTCCTTCTCAACTTTGTGACTATTGAAGAATCTAAGCCTGACGATCCTGGCCATGAGCACATAAATGGCACTTTAGACATTCCTGTAGAGCTAGAAGAACAGACTATGGGAAAGTATAACTGGGCCACCACACCAACCACATTTAAGCCTGATAGCCCAGATTTAGCAAAGCACTACAAGTCTGCTTCTCCACAGCCCACCTTTCAAATTAAACCTGAGACTCCTGTACCCCCCAAGAAGCACCATGTTATTCAGGAACTGCCTCTAGATAACACCTTTGTGGTGGGCTGTGACTCACTTTCCAAGTGCTCATCAAGCAGCTCGGACCCTTACAGTGTTTCTGAATGCAGCTGTCAAGGAGGCTTCAAGACCCCAGGACCCATACACACCAGACAGGTAATGGAGGTTTTAAGGTGTTCTCTTTCTCCTTCCCTTCTTACTTTGCCATTCCTATAACTCTAGATCTAAGCACTGCAAAATAACCTTTTCTGCAAGGATTAGAAGTGCATATTAGATCGAGGCACTGAAGAGTAAACAATTTAAGATTCATCAGTGTTAAGAGAAAAAATTAAATGTTTGTTGGCTGTAGGGACACCGAGCAGAGAATTATGCCATCGGTGGGTATTACTAACTGCAGATGGCAGCATGGCACTGCTTGCGTCACTGCAGTAACTCGTGCAGCCCTGCAAGGCACAGAGGGGTTATGGTGCTGTCCTCAGTAGTATTTTGTACTCAAGAATTGAGGTAATCTAGGCCAGGTGGAAAGCAATAAAGCCTTACAGGATCTGATAAGTGGTTCTTAATATTAATGGAGTCTGGAATTGCAGCCTTCATTTGGGCATAGCTTTACTTCAAGGTCTCTCAAAAGCAGGCAAGAATTTTCCTCTGAGAATTTCAGTTCCATTTTCAGACTAGAAGCATACTGGACTATTTAAATCTGGTGGAGTAACACAGTCGGCAGGCAAAGTTAGGGGAAAATGAGAAGCATCAGTATAATTGCTCTGACTTCTATGCTGCTCTCCTGATAAACCAGATAGTAGCTTCTCAGAAATCCAGTACATCCAGCAAAGAAAATGTCTAAAGGATCCTCATCTTAAAAATAAATTGAGAACCAAAGTACATTTTAGTCTTCTAGACACTACAGAAAGGCTTTAAGTCATTGGAAATGGAATTTAATGACTGTCCTTATTCTGGACAATATTATTAATAATAAAGCTTTGCTGTTCGTGTTTCCTTCTTTCTTCACATACCACAAAGTTTTCAGTGAAATAGTTTTCTAGTTAAGCTTTAATTGGTCAAGGAATTAATCATGAAAGAAAAATGTCAGGAGATTTAATATATTATTGATAATATATTTTAATACTATTGCCTGGGAGCAAATCCTCAGCATAACTGAGCCGGTCAGACTTTTTGCTTTAGCTAGGTTTTGATTCTTTTTTCTGTGGGCTTTGTTTTATTACCATGATGAAAAAATGTGGTAATAGTGTAGTAAGTGATAACAACATGTGCCTCAAAAAAGCTGCTCATTCAAAGTAGCCATCATATCTTTGAAAATTGCAGGTTGGGTTGTTTTGTCTGTTTTCCTTACCAACCTGTGCTATATTCTATATCACTGTGCTTTAGAAAACTTCCATCTTTTTCTGAGGTGCATTAACAGAAAAACTGAAGGGGAGGGGTGAGAGAATTTCTTATTTCTAAGATATGGCAGCACTGAAAAATGAAGCTTTTTGAGATTTGAGTATTTTCTATTAAAGGTATTTGAAGGTGTTAATTTAAATTACACATTACAAAAGCTTCTTGCCAATTTGTTCATATGTTTGAACTCTCATAACTCTGAGGAGGCTAGTGCTACAGCAATGCTCCTCAGCATTTCTGTAGGTCTCATCTAAGTGATTTTTCAATTGAGTTCTGGTACAGTTCCTCTGAGCCAGAAAGGTTCTTCCATTGTCTGCTCAAATACACTGTCAAGCAGTAATGCTGCAAACAAAGCAAGCTCGTAAGTCTCTAGGTTATCACTAACATAGTTCCTCCATCCAAAGGGGCTTTTAAAGCAGAATGGAAGCAATTCTCTTCTGCAGAAGTTGGTTGGGGAAAAGAGCATTTCCTTTTATTTGTACCTTAAAGGTCAATGATGGGGGCTTCCTATCTGGAAGAGCAGAATAGAGTTGTGTTTTTCTTTCTTTAAGTGCTCATTGCCTGATACTAGCTTATCTTCACGTAGCTGTACCTGAAATTATATTAATGTGATGCACTGAATATATCAAAAAGAGATTAATGTTACTATGATTCTATGATCCTATTGATTTTGTTAAATCTATAGCCTATCCTTCTTTTACATGTATTTTTCTGTATGAAAGTGATCACACTGTTGGAGAAAGTATAACTGCTCGCTGTCAAGGGCTTTTTACACAAATTTGAAAACAACATCAACCTGTGAACACATGAATTCGACTTCTTATCCTTATTAAATAAAAGTAGTTTTGTTAATGAATTTATTTACATAAATTGGGCAAGAAAAGCTATTAGATTTAAATCCTTTGTGTTGGACCATGATCGCAAAGGCAGAATTATATTTCATAAGTAAAACCAAGTACAGTGTTTCTTAAACCTCAGTGGATCTTGTAAGTCAGTCTTCCTTCTAACCTGGTTTTGTATGTGGTAGTCTCTACAGTTTTCTCAGGTGGGGCTGTAAAAGGTGACTCAGGGTGAGTTGTCACTGTTAGCCTGTAAAGAAACAAAGCAAACAAAAATGAACTTCTGCCACAGTGGTTCAGCTGTTGTGCTGTCCCACTGCCCTCCAGCCTCACAGACTAACAGGGTGTTTGTGCTTAATGATGCATTTGTGTTGTGCGGGCTCTGAATTACCAGGAAACTGAAGGCCAGGCTGGAGAATTGGAAGATAGGGAGGGCAGCTGACAAGGGAGGTGTGCTAGTTTGATCAATAAAAGTAACATGTCTAATGTGAGTAAAAATATTTTACTTTACCACTAAGAATTACTGTAATGCCTCCCTTTTACAAAACAGAAGCTTTCTGAAGGAGGCTAAAAAAGATTACATTCACTGTGAAGATGACTTTTCTGTTTCTACTGCATGCTGCTCTTAAGAGGTGACACATCTTAACTGTTCTTAGTTTTATCCATGCAAGGCTTTCTACTCAGATATTTGAAGTAGTATTGAGTTAGAGCTAAAAATATATGTTTTCTTTTGAAGCTCTAAATTTTGTGTATGTCCGAATGGTATCGATTCAGGTCTTTAAAGAAAGGAAATTATGTCTTTGCTTTACTGCAAAATTTGTCTAAGTGATCTATAAAATGACAGAAAGTCATTACAGCAGTTGTACTCAAAAAGCGTGCAAGACAAGATGGAAAGGTTTTTATACTAAAACCCCCAAAATATCTCTTTAGTGGTCATGTGGGAAAATAAATACAGCAGTACAACAGCTGAAATTTTAATGGAGAAGGAATCGGAGACTCCTGAAGCAGCTGGGGACACACTGAATCATGAACTACAGGAAGCTGAGGAGGAAAAAGTTTGGTCCTTATGTAATGATCCCTATGTCCCCTATGTATGTGAGAAGGAGGAAAGAGGAGAGAGATATTAATACTATTCTGAAATAGTAGTGATAGCAGAGCTGCAGAATAGCATGCTTTCTTTTGGGATATAGTAGAGATAATTCTTTGAATGGGCTTCTTATTCATAAGAAAAATTTTCAAACTTGTGTATTTGAAGCTTGTAAATGAAATTCCCTTTCAGTGCCATAAGATTTTAATTGTTTTGGTAGTTGTGGGCCTGGTAGAAAAGCATACAGCACCTTTAAACTTTATCTGTCTGCAAGCTTTGGGAAAGCTCCATTGCTTTTGACATTTACCTCAGTGAGGGCAGACTATATGAATTATTCCATACTGACACAAATCTTCTAATTCTTCTTGTATTTGCATTGGAATGATGAACAGAAAGGAGAGGTTTTTCCAGTCTAGTTTTTATGTAATTTATAACACAATTTTTAAATATATATTCTTTGCTCAAGTACTTGAAACAGTGTTCAGACAATTGAAATACCTGTCTAGGGATCAGCCTGTCAATTCAAACCATGTATAGTATGATGTGTGGCAGTTTGGTTCAAAGAAGCTCCTGCCGCAGATGTTCATTAGAACTTCCCATGCGTTTTCTGCCGCCTTCTCCTTTCATTTCATTAATGCTATTTCAGACATTCTTTTCATTTCAGAGTAGTATGATGCATATTATAGGAACAGTTGAAATCTGAAAATAAACACCCAGTCACTCAGGAAGAGACTTGTGACCTTTTGTGTTGTCATTTACAACTTAAGAGCAAGTTTTATTCTGACTTTGTGTTATTGAAGAAGTGTGAGTGTTTATGAAGGCAGCACCTCTTCGGTTGATAGACCTGGGAAGTACAATCGTGATATGAATCTACTGTTACATGCTTCTTGGTGGTTCTCCATGCTTCGCAGGGAACTCTGTATGCTAATTTAGCTTCACTACTAGCAAACTATACCAAGTTTGGGAAGTTGTTGAGGGGGTGAAGAAGCATACACACTGGTTTTATTCACTAATGCAAATCTTCATCAGTTAATTTTAGTTGCCAGGATTCTATCATTTGAGAACATACCCATACTTTTGAACAGAAATCTCAGATGACACAGTGATTGCTGCTGCGCTTGTTAGAAACTGGTTGGAGAGGGACATTATATTCTGTAGAAATCTGAATGGGAAGTAGACTTCATTTAAAATACATTATATTTTGGTCCCCTACAGTCACAATTCTGATTCTGTTAGTTACTGCTTAGACCTGCTTACAGTCATGGTATATTTCATTTTCTGATTTGAAATGTAGTGAAGAGTCATTATAGCTTCCCACTCACTATGAGAACAGTGTGCTTAGGATGTGAATTGAGAGAATATTACACTGTTCCTGAACCTAATAGCTCTAAAAACTCACCTGTTATTTAAATCTATAGCTGGAGGATTTATTGTTTCATTTAATAACATGAGACTAGTGAGTTTAACCTAGTGTAGTGTTCATCAGTCGTCAGTGCTGATGCTTCTGGTATGTAACAGAGCTTAGAAATAACACTGGTAACTTTGCATTGGCAGATACAATTATACTCAAAGAACAGTATCTTCTAAATATCAGTTAAATAGCTGTTGGTATAAGCCATTTCAAAATTGATAACTATGATTCTAAATAGTTTTATTTTCTCTTAATATTCTGGTAGCTCTGATACACTGCCATGTGTACACATTTCAGGAAAAAAACCTGACATTCCCATCTGGAGAATTTCTAACTCAAGGATAAGTGAAAGTGCAGCATGGAGGTTACCGAGCAGCTACTGAATTGTGCAGTATTACTGAGATAAAGCTGGTCAAAAAATGCT